TCCGAAAGATCCACTTAGGTCTATAACCTCGTGAAATAACTGAAAGCCTCAAAAACTGTCTTGAAACTTCGATAAAACCTAAAATGATCTTTAAAGTGGAGGTCATGAAGCTAGCCAAGAACTTTAAAAAAGGAAACCAGAAATATAGTAAATAGGTATAGTAATAGTGCATAGTAAATAGGTTAGATGTAACTAGTATCTACATATCAAATGCACTTGCTAGATGTGAAGCACTGTCATCATTCTCTTCACAACTGCGACAGGAATCTGTAAATAAGAGATTAAATCTTCTAGAGTGGTTCTCTAGACATTTTTCAAAACCAATATAAAATAAAAACTCTGATTGTTGTATACATAAGGTCTGTCTAGCTCTGAAACTGTGACAGCAAAACTAGTGCAAGAATTTTGAAACCTCTAGAAAAGACCTAGTTTAGGTTAACTTACACCGGCAATCCTAAAGATCCACTTAGGTCTATAACCTCGTGAAATAACTGAAAGCCTCAAAAACTATCTTGAAACTTCGATAAAACCTAAAATGATCTTTAAAGTGGAGGTCATGAAGTTAGCCAAGAACCTTAAAAAAGGAAACCACAAATATAGTAAATAGGTATAGTAATAGTGCATAGTAAATGGGTTAGATGTAACTAGTATCTAAATATCAAATGCACTCACTAGATGTGAACCACTGTCATCATCCTCTCCACAACTGCGACAGGAAGCTGTAAATAGGAGGTTAAATCTTCTAGAGTGGTTGTCTAACAATTTTTCAAAACCTATATAATATAAAAACTCTGCAATCAAACACTTTAAAAAACCAAAGCATGCATTTCGATGGACGTCTTATATGAAATACGTATATATTTAATTCAAGAAAATTATTTGCGATTAAAATACATAGCATGTTTTGGCTTCTAAACAAAAAGTCTTCCGCATGCCTGAAAATTATACTATTTTAAAAATTTTTTATATCTACAAAAGTATCCTAAAACTTATATGAGCTAGTGTATATAGCTAAGGTGCACAGCTATGGTGCACAACCTCAACATCCAACATCCATATTCTTCAAGTATTTTAGTCTAAAACTCTGTAAGAAATGATAATCGCTTTAAAATACATAACTAACGCTGAAATCAATCGTTACCTTGCAACATCTCTAATAAAATATGAAGATAAAAATGAACGTAAATACCACTAAGATATTACTGTATCTTTAAGACCCATGGTTTTTATCTATTTCAAAATAAGGCTGGAGCAACAAACGCATAATTACAATATCTTATGAATAGATATTTGCGAAATGGGCTTTGAGTATGATGGAATAGCATGATTTCGATTTAAGAAGTTTTAAGAGTTACCAACCAGCGTTCCAACAAATGGATTATGCAGGAGTTGGCAAAATGAAGAAGAGGTAGAATCTATCAACCTCTTCCTGTGTCTCTGTCCAGAACTTCAGACAAGGCGACTTCAATATCTTGGGAATCGACTTCAATGTCTTGGAAGAGATAACGAAAGCAAACTTATCTGATTTTCTAAACTTCATCTAAAAAACCAAATGGTTTAACAAAGACAACAAAGGTTAGCAACTCGCCTTCTCCTGGCAAAATTTTTTGTGGGCAACAAAATGGGCAATATATGCCTCCGAGTGGAAGTGCTTGTGGATTTGTCCTGTGATGTAGCGCTGATATTTCTTCAAAGTACATTTGTCTTGTGATGTAGCGCTGATATTTCTTCAAATAACGTAAAAGAAGATAATTCTTACTACAACTGGACAGTTCTTACTATAACTAGAATATCTCTTCTATTGAACTGTGACTTAAAGCACGGAATAAATGAACTGAATTTTTTTGTACAAGCCTTAGGCTACTAACTAGAAGTATGGATATAATAATAAAGCACTCCTACTATTGAAGTATATTTCTTATAAAATTAACTTTTATTTTATAATAGTGTGAAGAAACGTTTAGTCAAAACGTTTCCAAAAATAAATATAAATTTTTTTCAAGAATTATTTTTGGCGACAACGTTTTTCGAAATTGACTTATTTTGGCGCAAGTTTAAAATTGCCATCTCCTTAGACTAATTTCATAAAATTTTATTCGTTTAGAAGCAGAACTTTGTCCACTTCATGTACGAAACATTCCACAAACAGAAATTCCCATAAATATTTTTATTAGTTGTAAACTTTTTTGCTGAATGTGTCATTTTTTTATCATCGAACCTCACCCTGGCGAAAATATTGAGTTTCCAGTATGCCATGTGCCTGGGCCTGGGCCCGTGCCTGTGCCTACTTAGGGGAACGCTAACGTTATTTACTGTCAATTAACAAAATTATATAAAAATATAACTTAACTTTATGTTATAGTATTTTTGTTTTTTACATCCGATCTCAGAACTTAGTTTTGTTCGAATTGACGCTAAAAAAACTAAAAGCAGGAAAAGAACAAAAACAAAAAGTGAAAGAAAATTTAGCCGTTAAAGTTCTTCTGCATTATTTCATTGAGAAAGTCCTTTTGTGCTTCTTCTTAGTTTTATTTACTATTTTTTTTTTTTCGATTTTTTTTTTTGTACTTTGTTAGGCAAACTTTTCCACAAACCGTGCAAAATGCCAAGTAAATATACAAGTTTATCTTGAAATGAAAAAGTTATGTAGACTTCAGTATTAGAATCACAAAAAGAGTCATAAAAAATAATAATCATAAGAAGAATAAAAAAATTTTTAAAAAATGTGAAGTACAAAAATGAAGAAATTGTAAAGTGAACTTTTGCAGCCATTTGCACTTTTGTGACATTTTTTATGGGAATTTTTATTATATTTGATTTGATTTTTATTTTCATATCTGCTCCTATTCTGAACGTGTATGAACTTCAATTATTTGCTCCGTTTGCAGTCGTCATAATATCTCTCATAAATTTCAATTGTAAAAACGAAGTACAAAGAAATTTTGAAGCATTAATTTTTATAAGTGAGATATTAATTGAAGTCTTATAAGGGACTTATTTTAATTAAATTTAATTTAAATTCGTGAAATAACTTGTAGTTGCAGTATTCGAAGTATGCTGCGTGAATCATAAAAAAACACTATTTTTTTTCTTAATATCAGGTCGGGAGCCAAGAATCTACATCGAGGAAACTTATTTTGCAAAACAACAATTTTAAACATTGTGAAATTTTATGATTTATTATTTTTATAAATTTTACAAACATATTATTTTATTTCAATAATTTTTTTATTATTTTATTATTTATTTTTTACTTTTTTATTTTTTATTTTTTATTTTATTATATATTATTTTGCCTCGCTGGTCGAATCGTGTAGTAACATTAGCATGACTTTCTCAGTATTACGTTTCTAGATTAGGTTCTATACATAAGAAAGAATATATAAATCATTCAACAAATAATGCTTCTACAAAAGGAATAGTATTGAAATTTAACAATGAAGAATATAAATATAATTAATTAATTCAATTATACTACAGCTGGTTTATGATTTCGTTTTAATATAAACACAGCAAGTGAATTTGTTAATAAAACTTACGCCTCTAATTACGCCTCTTTACGCCTTGACTGGATTATTGTTTACCACTTCATCAGACTAAGCAATAATTGACTTCAGATCTGCATACCTCCCCGAGGAGCTTGTAACTATTTTGAGATTTGATAACCCGTTGTTGGTATGTAAGTCTGTCAGTTTTCGTGAATAATTTCAGGGCTCAATCCTTTATATATTTCTTAATTGGATCAATCTTGAGGTCCCAGAGAATGTCGTTCATCCTAATATACCATGTTAACTTGAAAAGTCTTCTCAGAGCCTGGCTTTGTGCAATTTCTAGCTGGCGAATAGTAGTGTTTGAGGCAT